GGCCTAAATTCTCGTTAAGGGTTTCTTTAGAGATTTATGTCTTGATTGTGCCCAATCCCAATAGAAAACTTAATTTTTGCTCAAAAGGATCCTAACTTTAAACGCAATTTAAATCACAAAATTTCATAAAAGTTCAAAAATATATGATGAATAGCTAGTCGATCCGCTCAGAAATTAAAAATTATTTGTGAAATGCGTTCTTTCTTACAGAACTAATTTATGATTTTAACTTGGCTGTTATAAGATTTTTAAAGAAGGAAATTTGAAAAGGGTTTCAATCTCTGCGAAGTGATGTCGATAATATTCGGTAATTAATTATTTTAAATTGAATCATTTTGAATTTCCTAATTAATAACATATTATTGTTTAAAATGTGTATTTTTAAAAGAGCAATTCTAACAGATTTTCATTTTAAAAATGCATTTTATTTTATAAGAATGCTCCAATTCAACAGTTATAAATTTTTATAAGATATATTTTATTAATACCAGGAGGTAAAAGGAGATAAGTAAATCAAAATGAATAAAAAAAACTTAACCTTTAACGTTGTTGGATAATTTATTTGATAAAAATGATTAATAACAGGAAGAAATTCTTGAAAAAAACATAGTATATTCTAAATTCTAGTCTTTATTTTTTAAGAATTATTTGATAAAACTGATGAGTAAGAGAGTGAATCTAAATTGTAGATCTAAATTAAAATCTGCTTAATCCTAAATTCTAGTCACTACTTTGTTTGAATTATTTGATAAAACCGAAAAAAAAGAATCCAAATTCTGATGTAAACAAATGATTTGTATGTATTACTCAATAAAGCATTTGTATAAAATAAAAAAATATATAATCCTTACATGAATTCATTGGTTTTTGCCTCTACCTTTTTCACACATCAATACCACATTAAAAAATAAAAAGAAACAGCAAAAGCGTTTTTTGGAAAATGATATTCAACTTTGGCTGTTGTCATTAGTACAGAACAAACTTCACGAAAACGCTAGTTTAAAAATTTTCGTTCATCCGTAGTAAATCGTTTTCTTTTCACACTCAAATTTGATTTTTCGTAACTTTTTGTAATATTCAGTTTTGTAAAATTATTGTATACATTACACGCTTAGCGCGATATTGAAAAATTCGCCAACGGCAAAATGATGCATTGGAGTTTATCGCCAAACTGTTTATACTGTTTGCAGAGGAACTTAACCTTTAAAAAAAACATCAGTGCATTGTATACTGGGCAAATGTGCACTGGGCAGTGGTACATAAGTAAAATAAAACTAAAAGTCAACTATTTAAAAAAAAAGTGACAAGCCAAATTTACAACTATAGATTCCAGAGTCGTCAAATCGATCATATAACGTTTACTAGGATTAAGCCTTCAGTTTTTAATAGCTGATAAAGTAACCGATTTTAAAAATTTTGCATGCCTTTCTGTTGAGAAAAATTCCATTGCCGATTTTCTTATTCTAATCCTCAATCATAAAGAAGGGTACGAGTTTCTGGCACAAAAATCTGAGAGAGTGGGTTCATTCCGAAATTCGTCAAATGTTTAGAAGTTTATGATTTAACGGTTGTTAATAGGATGCCATTATTCCTTATTTAATAATAATTCTTTGATCAATATTTCAAATATTTCTTTCAGAAAGTTAAAATCTTAAACAATCAAATCCAACTTACGATTTTTACAAACTTAGTGAGCTTACTTAGTGAACAAACTTAGTAGCACCAATCAAATTCTCAATTTCTAAATGTCAGTTTTATATTAATTTTATTTTGTTAAAAAAAAAGTGGAAAAAAATATTGTCGGTGCAGCGTTGCCACTTTTCATGATTAAAATGAAAGTTTGAAACAATGAAAAGTTGTGGTCAGAATGCGAATTAAAACTCATATTTTCACTTGTATTGATCACACTAAATAAAAGGCAATCGAATAAACTAACTATAGCGATCAATAATTGAAACTTTTAAAGCTATCCAGCACAGAGATTCATTCACAATTTGAATGCTTTCGCAAATCGGAAATTTAACTGATGATAAATTTCCGCTTTGCGATAATATCGCAATGAGTTCTATTGGTAGCGGTAGTAATATTGTAAAAGAGAAAAGTTTAAAGTGTAAGGAAAATATCGTTTACCTTTGTAAGCAGTTGGAATTAGAAAAGTGCTGTTAATTTAAGAAGGTTTCGTGAAACAATAATAAATGCGTATCAAGAAAGTTTTCCAAGATTTGAACTAAATTTTGCCCTCATCTCCATGGATATTGAAGAAAGTATTGTGCCGTTAAAATCATGTTGGATAAAAAAATACCGTAAATTGAAATTATAATTCCAAGAAATATATATATTATTACTTAACTGAAAAAATCGTTTGCAAAAAATATGATAGCTGCAACTGTTGACAGGAGAAACTGGATCTTTGTTGTATTTGAAATTGATCTTTTCAAAGAACAAAAGGGGAAATATAAAAAAATATCAGTTTAATTATGACTGGAAGTAATTTTAGACGTCTAGGAAAGTAATCAAAAGTGCAAAAAAATTGTATTTAAAATAAATGAATTAAAAGTTACAACATTTGTTCGATTTTGTTATAAAAGACTTAAAAAAAATTTAACCGTAACTATTTGAATGAATCAAATTCAAAGAATTTTTATTTTTCATCTTGTATAAGTAGAACTTTTGTTAAAGCTACAAAAATCGTTCTTTAATGTTTTAGTAGAATTTAAAAAAATTTAAAGCTGATTTATGCAAATAAATCGAATGGAAAGGATTTTTATTTATTTATTTTTTTTTTTCATTTTCTTTTACTGTAGAATTTTTGTAAAAGCTACTAAATTCATCTAAATATATCTTGAGTAAAATTAAAACATTATTTGAATGAATAGAATTTGAAGAAATTTTTTTTACTTTTTGTATTATTACAATTGTAGAATTTTTGTAAAAGTTACGTAAATCGTTCAATTATGTTTTAGTAAAATTAAATAATGAAAATGGAATTTTTTAAATCAATCGAATTCAACAAAATTTCGTTTCATTTTGTATTTTTGTTGTAGTGAAAACAGTAAATTAAATTAGAGTAATAAAATCATAACTACTTACTTTGAGTAATTATTTTCATAACCGGATATAATCACATTTATATTATTTATATAATCACATTTAAGTTACATTAAAGTATTGAAAAATGTTTAGACTAGTATACCTAATTTAAATTGTTTATTAAAATACAGTTTATAAACATAAAAATTAATAAATAAATTAATCAATTTAATAAATTTTGTTTAATTAAATTGATTGATTGATTTATTAATTCAAAGCAAACATTTGATGTAGATTAATTAACCCTCTTTCATATTTGTTATCATTTATACTAGATTAAATAACATAAAGGATAAATTAACAGGATTAATTATACCGATAATTATGCATTTATGTTCTTTTTATATGTTCTGTAAATTTAATAACCACTATGCCAAGGCTTAAATAATAAAACCAATAACAATTAACTATAGACAAGAGCAAGTAAAAAGAAATAAAGTAGATTAAGATGTGAAAACAAACATCTTAAAATTTGAGCTTGCAAAAAGCAACGGAACCAGAGTTGTAAAAAAGAAGTTAAATTTTAATTGAGCTCAATGCCCTCTATTGATAATAAATATAACTACACAGCTGAAAGTAATTATTTTCTAAATTTTCATTTAGTTGTAGTGCCGCCATCTATTAGGAGCACAAGAAAAATACAAACAGTACGAACTAAGTAAAGAATGTTCTTAAAATTCAAATTTAATAATTGATCGAATGAATGAGTACAAAAAGATAGTGTTAATTGCAGTTATTAAATTGAAGGTAACCATTGATGTCAAACATTACCGTGCTCTTTTTTTCGGGCCATGTGTAAAATGATTAGAAGAGATTCAGATTTATAACTTTTTTTTCTTTTTTGTAATTTGTACCCATTACTTCTTAAGATCGAAAATTATGTTATTAAAATTATATATATATTAAGAGTTCGGAAAATGTTAATGCAATTTTTTTTTAAAAATTAATAACTTTTTCATAATTTAATCTATGAATTATCATTATAATTATCATTACGATACATATTTTTTAATTTTTTTCCCACTGGCATTAAATTATATTATTTCTTAAAACTAACAGAAATATTAATCAGAAATTAGCTTATTAATTAATAATTTTAGATAAATGATGATCTAATTTCTGACCTTTCGAAGTTTGGAACTGAAACGCAGTACTTCAGATTTTTTTTGGGGCATTGGTTTCTAATGTTTTACGGATCACTGCTTATTCTGCACGGCAAAAAGTTTTCAACGCCTCAAAAAAAATGTCTTTCTTTTAAAGTTATTGAATATAATTGATTTTAAACATTTCTAAATGCAATGAATTTATCATTTAAGTGAATCTAAAGTTAGTTTAATGGAAAAAGTAATTTTCAACTGTTATTTATTATTTTATATTAGTTATTTTTAATATTAGTCAAAAAATATTTTATAAAAAGAGGTAGGTAAATTTTAGAAAGCATCATTTTCAACTATAATAATTTGTACTTTTTATTAAAAATTACAAGAAATAACAATAAATACGTTTACTGTAAAGGTTTATTCCGCCGGTGTTCGTAAATTTAGCTATTTTGTCTATTTATTTTCATATTATTATTACGAAATAAATAGAAATTTTTAAAAATATCTAACACACACACACATACATATATAAAATAATAGTTACATAAAGTATTCCCACATTTACAATTTCAGTCGCTTTTTCTTCTTGTTGCAAAAAAGAAATATAAAAATAAAATTAACAAAATATCTGGATACATTTTTCAAATTTTAAAATTGCAATTCTCTTCTTGAATTCTAACTATTACCGATAAAAATACAAATGGTTAAAATTTGCGATTAAGCACATTTTAAAACGTATAATTGATATCTAAGTTTTTTAAAAATAAACTTAAACTAAAATTAATATTATAACCAATTTAAAATGTGAAATTTTCAGAAATATAATGCTTTCACATTAGCGAATAAAAACAAAATAGTGAATAACTGAGAAGTGACAATTATTAATATTTATTGTAGCTGCTAAGCTGCTGATAAACTGTTGTAGCTGCTGATTAACAAATCTAGAAAACTTAACATACCTTATACATATTTAGTCAAATGAAAGTGGCTAACAACATATATTTAATTTAACTCAGTTTTCTTGATCTTAATTCATTTTTTTAACGCAGAAAATAGGCTTACGTTCTTAATACTTAATAAGTTCTTCACTTTTTTTACACAAAACAAAAAATGTCAATGTTAATTTTCGCATTTTAACTGTTGTCAATAACTTATAAGTTGCAAGAAGGTAACGGTATTGAAAAATGAGCTTTCGATATCTTTTTTTAATTATTTCGCTGAATATGTGTTCTATATTTCAGAATAATTTTGAATGTAAATAGATTTGGCTCCGAGAGGATTTATAATTGTTTTATAAGATACCATTTGCTTCCATACGTAGAACAATAAACCACCAGTTATATATCAATTAACAATATACCACCAGTTTAAATATTCTATCTAATATTTACAATGGACAAAATGAAAATCAAAACGCCTGAATTTACCTGGTACCTAATCCATAAACATAATTTGTTTTTCTAATTTATAGCATTAATAGGAAAAGCAGAAAACTTCCTCCATAAGTAGTAGTAAACAGGACTAAAAAATTTTCTGCAAGCAGCAATTCAATTGTAGCAGATCATGTGATCTGATTCAATCTGATGTTAAAACTTTTTCTGTAAAATTAACAATTATGCATTCACTGCACATTTATATATACATGAATAGAGTTAACATTTTATGTTACGTGAATACAATTAACATTTATTGACACATTGAATATTTATTCATACATAAATACAATTAACATTCTTACGTAAATACAATTAATATTTATTCATACATAAATACAATTGACATTTGTACACACATAAATACAAATAACATTTATTCATATGTTGAATATTACATTCATTCATATGTTGAAAGCTATAGCTTTTCATATATTAGGCCAATACGAAATTATACACTGTTTTTTGTAATTACCGCCATCAATAAATATATTTAAAATATTAGCCAAAAAGCCATATTTAAGTGAGAGAAAAAAAACAGATATGCTACCATAATCTGGGAAAACGTCTTGAAGTAATATACACATTTTTTTTATTTTATTGATCTACAGAATTTTACTTCCATTTGAATTGATTGAGAAATTAAATGTCAACCTTAAGTAAACAATAATTAAAATTAGAAATTTTAACATTAATTAGAACTTAAAAGATAGAACAGAAAATAATAAAACATTATTAAGTATTAACTGTTAGCCTCATCAATAAATAATCTCTTAATTAATCGCAATAATAATAATCAATAATTAATAGCTTTGACAAAAAGCACTTAAGATGTTTTTATCGTAACAAAAAATTAAACAGCAATTGAATAAAACAAAATTGTAGATAAAGCTTCAATGATAATGAATCAAAATGATAACATTTCATTTTTATCCCAATAAAATTGGATACTAAATTTGTGTTAAAACAATCAAACATTTTGAGTTCTCTCAATATAATAAATGATGTAACTATCAGTTTATAATCGGTATCGAAAATTAACTTTAGTAATTGCAAAAATTGATGAGATAAGCGAGCAGAGAACCCTAGGATTTAAATAAAAACTGTATCATATCCTAAACTTTTGTTTCTTGAAAATCTTGCTCCGGAGGATACTCTGGAGAATGGACGGCTATACGCAAAAGGCACTTCTCGGAGGCTAAGAGAGTGTCTTTTGCTAAGCGTTCCTTTGGCTAAGGGCATGCATTCAGGACAAGCACTTTCATACATTTCATAATCAGTTATTTCCAAAGCACGACACACATGATTTTTTGAACACTTAAAAAAGTTACCATCTGAATATCCATTTAAGGCATAAACAGGAAGCTCTTTGAAATCCAATTCAGATTCCAAAGCAGAATGTAACCTCTTTTCATCATGTTTTATATCATCTAAAATACTACGTATCGCTTTCAAATCTCGAAAAGGAGAATAAGTCATAACGCAGTCTAAGAGAAGATTCCAACTCTTTTTCCTTTCGCCTTTAGAAAATATTCGGAGAAATCGCAGCAGTTCACCTGCAAGTTTCAACCTTCGAAGTTCCCATGTTAATTCAAACAGCTGTTGTTCTGATGCAGTTAAGAAGTCATCGCGAAAAATAGGCTCCATCCAAAAGCAAGTTGTTTTAATGTAAGTTTTCAACTTATTTAAGTCACAGTTGTTTGAAATACTCATATCAGTGTTTCTTCTACGTGCGAGCTCTGACACATTTACGAATACCTTCATTAAAGTATAAAAATTAAACATAGTTTGTAATTCAGAAATGGTTCTGGGTTTCTTCGACGAAACCACTTTATTTATGTCACGATCAATTTTTGTCAAGTGTGGATCAGAAATAGGATTGGTGGATCGCAATAATGATTGTATTTTTCTTCGATGTAATGAAGGATCTTCCTTAAACACCAATGTTTTGGCATTTTCAATGTCAGCTAATCTTGATTTTATCAAATTTCCAAATCGATAATTTCTTTTAATGGCAAATTTGCATCGTGGGCATAAAATTGCTTGCAATGCGCATAGTTCGCTTGCTTCTTTATTTATCCATTTTGAAAACTCGTCCACTTCAAACAAATGACCACAGTCTTCTAGGGTTATGTATTTTTTGCCATCAGCAATAAAACATTCTTCTCCGATCTTGCAAGCGTTGCAAACTGTAGGACAAGTTTCCCCACAAAACCCTAAACAAGGATGTTGGCAGCTTAATAGCTTTAAACAAGGCTCATTGCAGGGGCCACGATCACACAGGTCACTGCACAATCTCGAGCATTTTTTGTGAGGGCAAACCCATGCACATGGTTCAGTACATGGATCACAAGGTTCTCTGCACATTTTTAAGCACTTTCTATGAGAGCACACGTTCTCACAAGGTTTTTTACACGGTGGACATGCCTTAGAACATATAGATTCACAATTATGACCACAAATTAAAATTCGTTTACACTTTTGGTTACATGCAATATGAAATCTTCCTTGATGGCAAGTGCTACAAGTACCTGTACAAGCATGTCCACATTTTAATTCGGCATTACAAGGTGCAGAACAACGGTCTGTAAGATAATTGCCATCATTTGAAAGAAAACACACGACTTCCATACGATGCCCACAAAAAGGGGATACTATTAAAATAGTTTTTTTACATCTCGATACACAACTCTCACCGCATTTTTTCTGACATTTACTATGCCCGCATGGTAAAAGCTTTTCACAAGGCTCGTTGCATGTTATTTCCTCAACTGTAACAGAACATTCTTCACGAGTCTTGTGACCACATAGTAAAATTTTTTCGCATTCAACGTCGCAGGGAATATCTTCAATTTTGAGATGACATTCTATTTCTCTCTCGTGATCACATAATTTACTCCTTTTAAGAACTAGAACTGAGCAGAGCGCGCACCTTTCAAAACAAAGTGATTTGCATTCATGGCCACATGGTAGAACTTTCTGGCAATCACTGCGACAAGGAATGTGTGACGTAAAGTTTTTGCAGCTTCTGCATAATCCACTACAGATATGGCCACAAGGTAGTGATGCCTCACAAGGAGTCTGGCAGTTCGTTCTCAGAAAATCTTCATCATATTTCTGAAAGCATTGAATTTCCATTTCGTGTCCACAGAATGACGAAGTAATTGTAATACTTTCAGGGCATTCTTTTGTACAATCTTCAGCACATTGGTTTAAACATTTATGATCGCATTCCAATAATCTTTCACAAGGTTCTTCGCACACGATATCTTCAATTTTGATACAACATTGTACGACAATTTCATGTTCACAAAGAAGCCTTTTATTCAGTAAAACAGGGCAAAGACATTCCTCGAAACACTTTCTTTGGCAAGCATGCCCATTTTCACATATTCTAGTGCAAGGTTTTTCGCAGCAGATATTTTCGTGCTCTCTATCGTAAGGGTGGCACATTAATGGACAAGTGTGGCCACATGGCAAACGATATTCACATTTAATTTTACAGCCTCCATCTGGAACTAAATCAAAATCTTCACAGCTTTTAACATAATTACTAATTTCAGGGTGGTTTTGACATCTCAGCTGAACTGCTGATCCAAATAAATCACGATCCTTCAAATATGAGATGACGTTTCTCCAAAGTTTACTGTTTTGTGCTAATAAATTAAAGTTTCCAATGCAATACAGCCCTTTTCTTGCTCGAGATAATGCAACACAAACACGATTTGAAATTTTTAGAAATCCAATTTCTCCTTCATCATTACTACGCACCAAAGAAAGTAAAATTATTTCATTTTCTTCTCCTTGATAATTATCGACTACCGTTATCCGTACGTCTTTCAGTTTACCTCGCGACAATCGTTTCAGTTCCAATAACTGCCCGGAGTACGTAGTCAGTATAGTGATTTGAGAAGGTTCGTAATTCTGCTTAATTAAATACTCACATAGAGAAATCAAATATTTCGCTTCATGCTGATTGGATTTACTTTGATTATCGCCATCTTGAAGTTCATCAAAACTATGCGAAACAAAAAAAACATTTTTATTCACTCCTCTCACATCCTCATACAAACTAACGGATGCATGATTTTCTAAAGTTTTGTAGAAGTGTGGAACTAATAATCCTGCTATTTCAGGTCTCATTCTGTGCTGAATGAGCAATTGGACAAATTCCAAACCATTCTTGACCAGTCTTTCAAAAAGAGAAACATTCAAATCGTATTTCACGGATAACATATGAATATTAGGATTGGGCCTCAACTGCAAATGATCTCCAATTAAAATGACGTGTTTTGTCTCAGGACTCAAAGAGGTTACCACGTGACATTCTAGTACTTCTGCAGCTTCTTCTACGACAACTATTGATGGTTTCAAGGACTCAATAATGTATCGGTACTTAGCAGCACCAGTTGTGGTCATACCAATAACGTCAGCCTTACTAGCAACGTAAACATCTTTCAAAGAGCGTAACTCGCAAAGTTCGACGTGTTTTTCGCGGAGATTTTGAAGAAGATTGTACTTTTTCCGCTTTTTAAGCTCAATAAACATTTGCACCCAATATTTGTAGAGTTTCCACCTGTCTTCTATGGTTAATTTCCAGACATTAGTGACATTTTTAAACTCATAGTTTGACATTACAGCTGAATTACACAATTTTTCCCTGAATAACTTACTCACTGCACTTTGGCCTCCTTGAACCTGCCAGCCATCAAGAAAATCAATGGAATCACAGTTGTCTAGTGTAATGTCCAATGCAACATCGTATGAAGCTCCTGCAATATCATCCGAGTCAAAATCTCGCTGCGCTTCCAGGTATTCGACGTCTGCAAAATCATTTATATTATTCTGATCGGCAACGTAAGCAGTTTCTTTGCAATTGTCTCTTAAGAGCCTAAACGTAGAATGAAGATTTTGAATAATTTCAATACGATCTTTAATATTATTTCCGTCTTTCACTTTTAACTCTAACCAATAGTACATGAAGACTTGATCTGTCGGATAATATCTACGCACTTGACCTCTTGGAGAATATCTACGCAATGATTTGAAGTGCATACTGTTAATGTACCCCTTTAAATCATATTCATTTAGTACTGAAGACAAAGCATAATCTATTGATTGCTTTAGCTCACTCATTTGTTCCGATAACTCCCGTCGTTCATTATAGTTAGAGATATATCGTAATTCTTCTTTCATTTCTAAATATTTACCTTTTGTTTTCATAACCAAGCATTGTACCCAGTATTTATAAAGTCTCCATCTGAACTGAATGTTAATTTCCCATACATTTCGAATATTTCTCACTTCTGAAGAATTCAAGGAAAACGTATAATTTAAAACACATGATATGTGTTTTGAGATTTCACCAGCAAAACATACAGAATCCTTCAATTTCTGATATCTGTTTTGCTCATTTCTTTGCCCCACATTCACAATCCTTTTTCCACTTGCATCTACTAAAAGATCGCTTTTTGAAAGAGACTTTACACTGATGCGAAAGACGAAATCGTCAATTTCACCGACACAGATCCCTAGCCAATTATAGATGGAGTTATATGCTGCTTCATACCTTTCTTCTCTAAACGAAAGGAAATGTGCTGTGGGTATGCAGCTTTCTAGCTCTGACGCATTTAAAACTCTATTTTGCGATGCTTTAATGAGTTTATTTGTGGTCTCTATTTCCTCTCTAATATTATTTAACATGGCTAATTTCATACTTATGTTATGAAATATGTGCGTTGGAACATTTTTTTCATCCTCTAATTTTCTTCGCAAATTACTGAGTTTAAATTTTTCTAGATTTTCATTTTTTCCTCTATCTCCAATGCGAACAATATTTTCGGTAAAAACTGTTAAACCTTCTAAAAACTGATCAAGAGCATGATTTGAAAAACATACTATCAATATAGGAGAATGAAGGTTGTCAGATTTCCAAATTTTCTTATTGTAGAGCAATAATTGTACGATTCTCAATCCAATATAAGTTTTCCCAGTACCTGGTGGACCTTGAATGATTGCAAATTCCTTTGTAACGGCTGTTTTCAAAGCATCGTACTGAGAGGGATCGAGATCCATTTCACTCGCAGTTGGCCAACTATTATAATTGAGTACAGATGTGGTTTTCGCTCTGTTATCGATATCTGAAGGATAAGTATACTCAATATAATGATTCGATTTTTTCACATATTTTTTATCTAGAGGTATCAACAATGGTCGCATATCATAAGTAGTGTCATCTTTCAAGTAACAAGGATGATGCACACAAGTCTCAACATCAACAATATACCGTTTCATTGGCATCTTTTCATCATCTAACTCCGACAATGCTTTCAGATTATGACGGTAAGCTTCGAAAAATGCTGTAGTTTCAAGAACTACAAACTTTCGATCAGGATTTATATCTAAAACTTCTTCCGACAGGTTTTCGAATTTTACCATTAACTTTCCCTGTTTCAATTCTTCTGTCTTCCGCTCAGCCACGATGGCAAAAAGCATGGTTTTAAAGTCATCGTCTGATATACAAAGCAACGATCCAAACAAAAATCGTTTGCTAGATTCCCATTTGACATGAGAAAAATCTTTAACTTGGAAAACAGCAATGTAGACAAGACCAATTGAAACCATTTGTTGTGATGTCAAATAAACATTCTCATAAACACGCACGTTGTTGCATTTTTTTACTGATTTGCCAGCTTTTTTCAACTCTTTATATTCTGCAACACCATCCCGAAGTGATTTGACATAATCTTCGCGCAACAATCGAAATTGCACATCTAAATAATGTTCAGTGTCTTGATACTGTCCACTAACAACATTAGGACGAATGAATGCAGAAGTACAACGAAAATCTTCCGCACACGGCAGAATAGGAATAGAACGGAAATTTTCCGGAGGTTCTTCCAGCTGCAATTGTTCTTTGAAGGAAATTTTTTTGGCTTCAAATGGAGTGAAATTTTTCAAAAATGCATTATTTCTAACATCGATTTCTTGCAACTTTTGAAATATTTCGGAATCCTTACTTTCTCTTAGGTACAGTTCGCATGTTTTCTTTAATAACGGAAATAGGACTGTCAATGAATCTGAAGCAGAGGATGGTAAACAGGTTTGAAATTTGGTCAGGAAATTCACAAGGCTGACCAGCGAATCACAGTGAATATTTTGAGGACGACTTCTCTGAAACGATGCGAGGTACTTGGTAACTACATGAAAGAAATTCCCAGAACTCGTCACATTATTTATGACTATGTTAACATGCTTGGGTAACCGAGGAGCTACAGCTTTTTCCAAAGTAATCAGCATCAAGGCTAGAACATCGCGATCAACATTTTCATTTAAGAGAGATAGAAACCTATTTTCATCTTTATGAACAGTTAACAAGATTTCATCACAGCTTTTGTCGACAAGGTTTTTAATATAACTTAATTCTTTTGACTCATTTCTTGAAGTTTGGTAATTTCCATTTGGTAATGGTGGAGGTTCATTCAGAGGTTTTGACCTATGCGCAGTAATACGACCTGACAGAGGCATACTGATAAACTTAGGCAGAAGTGTATTGACGGGTCTTGACGAAGGCTTACTGATAGACTTCGGCAGAAGAGTATTGATAGGAAAAGATGAAGGCTTGATCAATCGATTTGATACAGGCTTAGACTTAGATCTCTGAACTGTTTCAGGATTTTTTCTTGCTGAAAAATATCGTTTTTCAGCTACTAAATTTCCTTTTGTGATGATATTGCTAGAAGATTCAGTTGCTGTTTCATACACATCTTCCATATTACACAACTCTTAAAAATCCCTAAAAGAATTAGATATAATAGATATAATAAGATTTTAGATATAATAATATAATAATTTATCTTACAAATGGTAAAAACATAGAGCATTTTTTCATGACATTAAAAAAAATGTATGCACAACGTTTTTCATTTAGAGGATTTGTACAGTACTCATTGAGTATTAGCATATCAAATTATTAAAAATCATTCCACTATATTTGCGATTAAATTGATAACAAACAGCAATTTTTCAATTTGCACATTAGTTAAGCCTACAGCATTGGTTCTGAACTTGTGAGCATAGGACAGAGACGCTAATTTCAATGTCGGAACTTCGAACCCAGGACGGTAACAATTCCTATGTATAGTTGTTAATTGTGCAGTAGTAGATACGTACGGCCTAGATACAGTAGTAGTACGGCCTAGATTAAGATTACGGAAGACAATACGTTTTAATTTTCCTAATCTGGGCAAGAGGAACTTAGTACACTCAAATTCGATCGAAAAATGATGAATTATGAAAAAAAATTATTTAGTATTGAAAGTATAAAGTATTGAAAATTATTAAGTATTGAAGTTTTCATATGAGGTCTAGCGATGGATAGGAAAGTTTACACTTCCCGAAGGAGCGTTTCTCATCGTTTCCCTCTAAAACAATAAGTTTTAATTAATTTATAAATATATAAATAAACCCTTGATGCTCGTTAATTTTTTTGTCAAGCAATTAAAAACTGGAAAATCACTTATTTGAAAATAAAAGTTGATCGTTTATTCCCTGAGGAAGATAACAATACAAACAACTTTTCTTTTCAAATAAGTTGTTTTCCAGAATTTAATTGCTTGAAAATCAAATTAAAAAAAAGCATGAAAATTTTTTTATGAATTACTTTTTCATTTTTCAAGCAATTGAATATTAGAATATAACTTATCTAAATCCTAGTGATAAAAAAAAAATTATTTCATATTCCTTAAGTAAGACCCCTTTCCCTTAAAATCATAAACTTTAAATAGCTTGAAGATTATATTTTCACGCCTTTTTATTTTTAAAATATAGATGTTGGTCATTAAATTCTAATCTACAAAACACCATAAGTTTTAGATACCTCCCAAATGAATTTGTTTTTTAATTTATTGGTAATTAAATGTTGGAATTGAATTTATATGGGTGTTAGTCATTAAAAAAATATTGTTTCTTATCAGGAGAATGACCTTTCATTTCCCTTCCCTCCTTAAAATTATAAATTTTTTGTTGCTTCCAAATAGAATTTTTATGCAGATTTTAATTTAAATTTTAAGCTATTAAGCATAATAAATATGGATTCTGGAATTGGAAAAAAAAATAGTCCCCTTTCTCTAAGCATGATATTCCTCCTCCCTCTTAGTGTTTCAAATTTTGAGTACTTTCTGAATAAAATGCTAGTATTTTTTTTTTTCAATTTTACAATTTAGGGGATATTAGTATACAATTTTGTAACAATTTCTTTCACATAACTACGCTTTAATTAAGTACTAAAATATCACAAATGTTGGATAAATATAGTAAAGGAAAAGTTCCTACTCACTGAGGGTGTTGTTTGTATTTGAGAAATTTTCCTGTTTTAACCATTTTGCATACATCTTTTAAAATTCGATGTAATTAAATTTTAAAATGAAGCTTGTGTAAGGTGTGAAATCTAAAAAGAAAATAGTTTACCACTTCTAAAAAAATCACTTCCTTCCCTCAAAAAAAAAAATATTCATTTTAAGATTTGTTCAATTATTATAAAAGCTAATATCGAAACAATTATAGCCTAAGATAATGCAGGGGTCTGTCCAGACATTTTGTGAAAGGTCCGTTTTTGGTAAAATTGTGAAAAAATTACTCGTAATTTGTGAATATAAAATAAACGTTAAGTCACATTATGTAAAATGAAATCTCNGTAAAGACATACAAGATTATGCTCAACACTGTAAAGTTATAATTAAAAAAATTAAATTTTAAAAAATAAACAGCAAATGCAACTACTAAATTAGCGATTCAACATACAAATATTTGGTATTTAGCCTATACTGCTGAACGCAGAATTTACTGCTGAATGTCGAAGACAAAATTTAGTTCGTTTATATCGCCTTTATTCCCTCACTCCTACCAGGGAAGGGTTTATTCGATTAACAAAACAATAATGAAGATAAACAAATTTGTGAAGGGTCCGATTAAAAGATAAATTATTTTGTGAAGGGTCCGTTTTTAAGTTAAAATATTTTGTGAAGGGTCCGTCTTAAAGATAAAATGTCTTGTGAAGGGTCCGTTTTTATGAAAAGATATTTTGTGAAGGGTCCGTTAACGGACCCAAATTTCTTCTAAACAGACCCCTGTAATGTTATTAGTTTTATTATTAGAAATACAATTGATGCTTTTCATTGCTTCACAACGGGCAACAACAGGCTGATTTCATGTTACTAAGAGCTCTTGCCCCATGAGAAAAAAGACATACTTCTGACGAAAAGCAGAAAGGGAAACTCAAAAATAAGATTTTACAGTTCCAAAAATTTACACAATTCAACCATTTTAAATGACTCTGTAAATTTAATATCGCTTTTTCATGAATTGAGCTGTTGCCCTACCACTTCATCAATGCTTTAAAAAGGAAAAGTACGAATGGTTCCGCTATCTGACCTGAGAAGCCATTCAATTAGCGATTGCAACACTCGAATAACTCATTTGGGGAGAAGAAAAGTTCCATGTCTTGACCCTCTCCTCCTCTTTTCAGTTATATAGGAATGTACTACGATATTTTCCTCTTTCTTAATATTTTTCGTATTTAATTGTAAAAAATATTTTTTTAATTTCCACGATACTTTATTTTTGAGCTATGTTCAATGCAGAGTTGAGTTCCACATAGTTACCGAACTTTAAAAAGTTTTTAATCTACTTGAAAATCAAGACAGAAACTAACGTACATCCTTCTCCTATGACTCTCCACACGCTAATGGTGAAAGCATGCGAAGTGTTGCCATAGGTATTGTTGAGATGGAATATTCGGTGTGGTAGGAAGTAGTATTGTATACTTGACCACTTGAAGATAATGATGAAAATAACAGTTGAACCGGATCATAATTAATAATACTTTTATTTAGTAGTATTTATAGAGCTCGAGATACAAAAATTATATATTATCCATGATAATGTTCAAAGTTAAATAAATTTTACATAGTAATATTAATAAGGACAGGCCATGGGAGACAAATCCTCCATGACCTGCCTAATCAAAAGCCAAATTAAAAAGTACATGTAATTGTTCCCAACGGACACAGGCAGGGCCGGATTATCCATTAGGCCAGACTAGGCCATGGCCTGGGGCCCCCAATGATGAGGGAGTCCCTTAAAATGGATTTTTAAGAATAAATTTAAAAATATTAAGAAAAACAATGATTTTTCAAAATGTTAGGATTATTTTTTAGTTCTAATTTAATAAAATAAAGTAAAATTTAATTTATTATTATTTATTTTAATTTTAAATATGCTTTCTTAAATGAAAAGATAGATAAATACTTTTATTTGTGAATAAATAAAAAATATACGAGAAAAAAATTTAATCTAAGGGCCCAAAAAATTTTAATGGCCTAGGGCCCCGCGTACGCTTAATCCGGTCCTGGACACAGGAGAAGTATGGGTAGGAGATCCAAAATTGGCGTATTATCAAAATATAACATAGCCAAAGCAAAGCCAACCTAGCATAATAAATATTGGGTTCAAAAGTACCTATTGGGTTCAAAAGTACCTTCGCAAAACAAATTTATGGGAGTTATTACAACCATGCAACTGAAACATTTTTGCGGATTAGAAATTTAGAATCAAAAAGTTATAAATAGATTTTTTTTCTTGATTAGGCGCGACAGTGAATTAATGAGTCTGAATTAGTATTGAAATAAAAAGTATCCGTTACAATGATCGATAAGAAAAGAATAAAATATTTTATGTTCGCTTTAAAAGATTAAGTCTTTGATTTATTTTAAATATAATTCGATTAATAAATATAAGCTTAAGTTTAAAAAGATATTTTAAAAGGTAGGAAATCAATATGTAATGCCAATTGTGGCATCACAGGTATAGATAGAGTTCTGCTGTACGCCACCTGCAACCCATTTCGATCACCAATTCAAAAAGCTTTTGAAAGCTTCATACTTTCAATGAACAAGAAATTTTGAATATCAGCATGTACAGTTTGGAAGAAATAAAATTTTCAATGTTTTCAAGAGCTGGTAGGTCATCAAGCAAAACCATTATTTTTTTTTTTCATGTTTACTGATGCGGCATATTTATATTCGCGTCTCTTTTATCTGTAAGCACAAGCGTGGTTGGGAAACAACTTGAATCCAAAGTATTGGGGATGGAATGTATAAAATCGAACATTAATGTAGTTTATACGACATGAGAAGAATCTGAGCTAGAAAAATTATTATTAGCTGCAGTAACGACTGTGGGGGGGGGGAATAAATGTATTCGAGCAAATATGTTGTGAAACATGTAAAAACTGCGATGGACAAACCTACCATGATAAAAAGAAATTTAAAAAGGCAAAAGAATAGGAAAATATTATTTCTTTTTACTCTTATATATATTTTTATAATTTGAAATTCTATTTTTTTCGATTTATACTACAGTACAAAACCTGTTATCCGGAAATCAGAAAACCGGAAAACCAAAAAACCGGAACGAAATTCGATAAATTTTCCCGCCATTTTTTAAAAAAAAAAAAAAATTCCTCATAAGATTTCAGGATTTTCCGTTCTTTTTTGAAAGATGTTTACCTTACCATCATTTTGGAAATAATCATTAGTGTATTACTTCATCGTTTTTTCTTCTTTTTAAGATTATTTCCATTTTTTTTTTTTTTTAAGTTAGGTTTAACAATAAAAAAAACGGCTTTTTGTAGCGATTTAGAAAACCGGAAATATCAGTTATCCGGAATAGCGATGGTCCCGATCGTTCCGGACAATCGGTTCCCTAATATTTGTTTTTTTAATCACTTACTAGTTA